AGTGATAAAAGCGTAAAAGCCGACACGTTGGTTGCTAAATAGCGGTAAAGAGGCCGATCGGCGGCAACTGCGCTCAATATACCTCAGAAGACATCGTCAATCTTCTCCGTCTGATCGAAATCGTACGCATTGCCAAATGGCCTATTCAGATAATTTTTGAGCAGTTGCTCACTCGAAACGTACGTGGCCGCGGTCTGCAGACCAGTCTTCTCGGGCGACAAGCGTTCAGCAAGCTCTTCCGCCAGTTCGACTTCCATCGAATTTCGATACCATGGCGCGAAGTGTACTGTGAAAAGAAGTCAGTTGAAAGAACCTCAGACCAGCAAGGAACTTACTCATCGCGAGCATCACTCTCGGATCTTCGCTCAGGTTGGGCTTCCCTCCGTGCCAGAGTCTCAGATCGCGAACGATCATGCTACCTTTCTTCACGACCGGCTGAGTGGGTGGCCGAACCTCGCGACGAGCATCGAGCAAATGCTGCTTGATCCTTCCGCTGGCACGATCGCCATGTTCGCCTTCTTGATCGGCAATAGTGGTACCTTGGTGTGTACCGAGCCAGATCTCTGTGGAGCCGTTCTCTGGCGTCATGGTCACGAGAGGAACGTTTACCACGAGGGCGAAAGGGATTGAGGGGTGATCAAAATCTGCATCATTGTGGATCGGCTGCGAGGCTGGTGGCGATGAAGCAGTTGGTGGTAGTGCGGTGTTGCCAGAAATGAAGCGCAATGAAGGTCTAGGACCAAGCGTGGTTGAAGTGACTTGCGTCACGATGGGATCTAATCCAAGGTTAGTATGTGTTTGGGGGGGTGGCAGGATTTGCTACAATAGACACGTACTGGCGTAGATTTCGTCACTGAACCACTCCTGGGTCATGGGCGGATCTTGTTGAATGTTTCCTTTATTATAGTTGAAGGGGCTGTCTTTTCTTCCTTGCAATTCGAGTGCATCCTGGACCATCTTCTTGTTCAACCGGTCCAAGACTGCATGGTCAATCATGTCTTCCAACACCACGAGGCCATCGCGAGAGAGCGCTCTGGTAGCGATCTCGAGGTTGCGTTGATTGAGCTCTCCAGTTTTGACTTCAGACGCGGAAGGCACAATGGAGATAGGTGTTGACGAAAGGCGCGGAGACATGGTGGGACGGTGGATGACGCAATGGTCAAGACTGGGATCGTACAAGGAGATGTGTACAACGTGATCGCTTCAAGTGCCACGGTACTAAGCTGAACAGTCTCAGACGTTGTGAGCTTTATATGCTATAACGATCTGGAACATGTAGCGGAACAGACGAAAGCGGTATGGCGAGGCGCTAAACCCAGTACAGGACTGCAGCCGTCTGTGGAGAACCTGGTCACAGGCTGCATGTCGTCGTGAGACGCATGGTGCGGGGAGCTTACTCTATGCTTCGAGTACACCAAGAGAGGGACAAGACGGCACCTCCACTTACGCGGGGAGTAGTCGACGGCGTGTGTTGATGGAGTAGACGATCCGACGCTCTTGGTTTGAAGCTGGAAACGTTTTCCATCAACGCGAGGTCACGCGCCGTCGGGGTGTCGGCGGCATTTCGATAGTGTCGTCGGTCAGGGATGGGTGGTCAGCGGAGGCACAGCACAACGTCTTCGCCTTGCATCGCTGTGCTCCTGCGTGTTTGCGAATTCAATGTGGAGGTCTCGAATGGGGTTTGTACCGAGTGTCGCACTGCGTCAAGACAACTCCCTCATGTGCGCGTAATTACGTACAATGCGTGCCGTCCACCGTCTAGGCAGACATTGGGAGCGCATGGAACTATGCAAACAAAGAAGCCCAGGACAGAAGAGGAATTAGGCAGGCACCGTGGCCCAGAGTCGCGAATCACAGCGCTGGCAGGCGGACGGTTGACCGGGATGGAGTGAGGAGAGATGCGGAAAGCGGCATGACGCGAACCAAGGCAAGAAGCCAGGGCCACCATCCCTCCACATTGTTTCCAGCGCCGGGTCCACCAACTCACCAACACACTCTAAACCGCCGCACTGTTTCAGCGAATATAGCAGTTATTGTGTACTTCTTTTCTGTACACGTTTCCCTTGCAGGATTATCGCACACGTCTTCCGTACCTTTAATCATCACCACGCGCCTCTACCGCACTCCTGCGACCATCGCAGTCCACGGACCTCCATCGAACCACGGATACTATCAGCACCGCCTGTCGATCCGCATAAACAAGGCTCTATACTTCTACCGCCATTGGTAACCGGCAGTCTTCGAGCAACATACCAGATTGACACTTTACGCATACGGCGCACCCGCCCATCACACGACACATACCACATCTACACACATCGCCATTATGCCGTCGCAACGTCGCATGAGGTTCTTTGGCATCCTCATTGTCGTCACAGTCGTCGTCTTGTTCTACATGTCAAGAGGAGCCCACCAAACACAAACATCCGACTTTTACACCAAAACCCAACAAGCCTTACAAGAAAAGGAATACGCAGAAGCGGCGAAGCAGCGCGATGCAGAGAGCGTCGGGTCGCGACTCAAAGCCGCCGAAGAGCAGGCGAAGAAGAACGCCGAGGACAAGTACACAGACCACAAAGTCAAGGTGGAAGGGCAGGACCAGAAGAGTGTCGCCGGCCGCGTCAAGATGGACGGCGACAGGGTCCCTGGCGTCGCGCAACAGGGTGGGAAGCCGCGCGATCAAGCAGCCATGATGGAGCACGAGACGCTTGAGGACCACGAAGTCGAGATGGAGCTCAATGCCATATTGAAGAAGAGTCCAAGTACGTTACTCCTCGCTCAATCGAGCCCTGCGCAGTCACTAACTTATCGTAGTGATCATCTTCTCAAAATCCTACTGCCCCTTCTCGAAGAAAGCGAAACACATTCTGCTCGAGAAGTACAACATCAAGCCCGAACCCTACGTCGTCGAACTCGATAAGAGCCCAATCGGCCAACAACTACAAGCCTTCCTGCACAAGTCGACAGGCCGACGAACGGTGCCTAACATTCTGCTCATGGGCAAGAGCATAGGAGGCGGCGATGACATTGAAGAGCTCGACCAGACGGACACTCTCGTAGCGAAGGTCAAGGAGATTGGCGGCAGCCGCATCACCGAGGTTGAGCATCGCGGCGCCCGTCCGGAGATGCGACGGAAGATGAGGGCGTAGACAACTCTGCGCTGTTTTCTCCTGCTCTCAGTATACTTGCAGGCATTTCTTGCGGTGTCTCTTGGGCCCGACATGCTACCTAGCGCATGTTTTCAGGAAGGTAGGATACCCAGGATATTTGTATGGATGGACATCAGATCTCGATGGTCTGCGTATTGCGATGGATATACCCTTTATAGTTTCAATATCTTGTACCGTTGGTTTCAGTCGCACGTCTTTCCTGGCTCAGTTCCCCTTTAGTCGTTGCAATCTGTCGTTGCTTACCCGATGAGGGGGGACTGCCTCTTCCTCGCACAGTGCTCTTTCTCTCACCTTAGACGCTCCTGCCGCTTTGCATACGATAAGCCATGTGGGGAGTACAGCCACTGCTCAACAATCTCTCACCTGGATGCACCTTCCATTTCAAAGCCTGAACAGCAGTCCTTCCACTCTTCTTCGTCTTTGTCTACACGTAATCTCAACCCATCGCGACCTTGTCTTTCCAATCCGAAGCCACAGTCTGAAAACGTGAGTACCAGCTGGCAGCCGTGTCTACGCAAGTTGCTGACTTCATAAGGCTGTTAAGATGTGCCTCTACTGGAAGAAGCTGCACACATGTGGCCACCTCTCTGATCGCCCGTACATCGAGATGTGCCGTCCGGGCTTTCTCTCCAACAACGTGTGCCCCGACATCAGCGACGACGACAAGCCTCGCTCATCGCACTTCCCATGTTACCCTTGTATCAAGCTCGAGGCCCGCGCTGAGACTGAAGCCCAAGTCCGGTTCGAGCAACACGAGTTCGCCAAGGCCTACGAAGCTCGCGAGCGCGCAGTGAGGGAGAAGCAGGCAGCGGAGCTGAGGGCCAAGGAGGAGCGCGTCCGACGTGAGGCTCGCGACAAAGCCGCACGGGAGCGAGAAGCGGAACAGCGTGCGAAGCGCGAGAAAGAGGAAGCTGAGCGCAAGGCCAAGAAAGAGGGGGGTGCCTGGATCGAGACGTCGGTTGGAAAGAAGCCAAAAGGCAAGAGGAACAGCGGTGGCAGTGGCCCTGCCAACGCTCCAGTAACACCATTGAACACCGTATCGACCATCAAGATGGCTGCCGCACCCAAGAACATCAAAGAGCTCAATGGAGGCGCTGGAGGTGGTGAGAGGATGAGTCCCAAGAAGGGTCGTGTTGATCCCGGTGGTAGAGCTGGTACTTGGGGCCCTAAGAAGATCTTGAGCAGGCAAGAGAACGTCGCTGAGGTCAACACTTCCGCCAGAAAGTGAGATTGGGGGTGTGCAAGACGAAAGTACGTTGTCTTGACAGCATGCTAGGTGTCAGGGTCGTCATCTGTTGCGTCATGCAACTTGCCAGATCTTAAAAGTTATCATTTTGTTCACGTTCTTGCTTCACCTCATACCAGGAAAAGGCCCAAAAAGCTGCTCCCAGAAGTCTCCGTCACCTTAGGGAATACGTGAGCTTCAACTTTGATACTAGTCTGGACGGTAGAGCACTGGTTCAGGTTTTTCTTGGTAAGAGGTTGCCTCACAACCCTCACCGATTTGTTTGCCGGTCTGATCTTTGTTATGAAGGGCACGGTGACTTGCCTCTGGGAGAGCAGTCGCATTCGAGGATATTGTCTTGGCACTCAACATGTGCTCGCGTGCTCGCGTGGCCTGGGCGGTTTCTCGGTACCGAGTCTAAAACGGCAGTCACCGTGAGGGTGACTGAGGAAGGCGCGCTCACGCGAGAACACTTTCGACCACCGATATCTTCCCACACCGATAAAGTTTTCTATCGTACCTCATCGTCTCGCAGCCTTCAGAATTTTCAACTCGCGACACTCAACAACATCCGCTCGACAAACACCTCACTCACGCTGGTTATCATGACCTCAGGAACAGACTCCAGTAACCCCAAGGAATCCGAGCTTGCCGACCGGCCATCTTCCATGGCTGCAGCAGCATTTCTAGGAATTGCATGGTACATCTGCATTGAGTTAAACATCCGCCTGCTCTACAGGGCGACACGTCGAAGCCTTTACTTCTGGAGCTGCTTGCTCTGCAGTTGGGGTCTTATCGTCCACGGCATCTCGATTGTCCTAGCCAACTTCAACAAATGGACATCCTACTCAGCCATCGTCTTCATCTACCTCTCATGGCTCGTCTTCGTCGTCGCTCAGTCCTTTGTTCTCTACTCACGCCTCGGCCTCGTGTGGAGAAACACGAAGAAAGATCGCTATATTCTCTACATGATTACTACTAACTCGGTCGTCTTTGGCCTAACCACAGTCTTGTTCGGGATGATTGCTGCACGTCTTTCGTCGCAAGCAACTGTACCATACTAATTGATCGCAGCGCCACCCACGCTTCAGCGCACGACTCGAGAAGGCCAACCTGATCTGGGACAAAGTACAAGTCGGCGCTTTCTTCACCCAAGAATGCATTATCGGAATGCTATACATCTGGCAAACATCGAAGTACTTCCAGAGCCTCGAGCTCCTCGGCAATAGTCGTCGCACCACTCGAGACAACCTCCGCAATCTCATCGCTGTCAACGTCCTCATAATCATGCTCGATGCCAGCGTCCTGGGCTTAGCCTATAGCGGTCGCTTCTTCATGCAGGGCTTCTATAAGGTCGCTGTATACGCTGTTAAGCTGCGCACGGAGTTTACCATACTGAATCAGCTGAGACAGGCGCTTGCGGGTGGATCGACAGGTGCGTCGGGATTTGCTGTGCAGACCGACCAGAGACCTATCGTGATGGCTCCTCTGAAGTCAAACGACGCGGTGGAGGTGGTTGAATAAGAAGACTGGGAAGGTGGACGGGATGGGCAGAGATACGAGAAAGGTGATTGGATATATAGCATGGGTCGGAGTTATTCGGCGAGGCCATATGTCTTTCTTCATCTTGCATGGCGTGTAGCATGAATCAATACAGCGATTATGCAACACGTTTTCGGGTTATCTTACGATAGGCGGATAGCTGTCAGTGTGGTCAATGCGTTTACAGAATAGATTTAAGTATCTTGAAGTACTACTGGCTGCATCATAACACTGTTTTCGACCTGCTCACATCTACCTTCAAACCTCCTAGCACATCCGACTCAAACACAATCATGCCTCAATGATACTCTGAGTCGCCACAGAAGACGATGTCTCCTCCTCTTCAAACCCTGAGCTCTCTTCTTTCAAGGTGAATTCAGGCGGATCTGTCTTCGACTCCAACTCGGTCCATTCCGCAGCCTCAGTCATCTCTTGCTGGGACAACTCTCCTCGGATATCTGCGACCGCATCTTCTGTATCGACGAGGTGCTTGATGTGGAAGATTACTTGGAGTGAGTGGTTTCGATCCCAGTCGCCATGTAGTCCTTTCTTGGCGTGCACCTTTGCTACTGGTAGCCAGAAGTCCTGCCACTTCTTGGAGCTCATGAAGGCGCTAAGTTTGATAAACTCGAACGCTTCTGGGTCTGAGTGGTAATAGCAAAGACTTTTCAACTCGCCCACATCTTCGGATCTGGCTCTGCTGAAGAATGTTGCTGGTAGGTGCTGACACCAGTGCTGCACGATATTCTCATCTTTGAAGAAATGTTCAAGAGGCCCTAACATCTCTTCACGGTCGTCTTCCGAAAGATTCAGGGCTTCGACATTGTCACTCGGTAAAGTGCCTGCGAGGTGGGTGTACCAGTGAGTAGCGGCGTACTTCCGAAACACTTCGGCCGCTTTGGCCGCTTCGGTCAAAGGTTCGCTTTGAGGCTCAGCGAAACTAAGAAAGCATTGCTGTAGTAGGCGAAAATGTAGCTCAGCGCTGTTGAAAACAGGGGCATCTTTCACCCTCCCGTTGAGAGATTTGTCGCGGTGTTGAAGAAAATACTCAGTGAGCGATGGGTGCGCAAAAGTAACAGTCGTCGTGGAAGGTGTGCACGTAAGCCCAAAAGCGCGTGCAGGATCGTGGATCTTGAGATGACTGAGAGTGATCCCATCCTCTTGTTCGAGATCAAACAGAGGAGTGAAGTTGTCGCGTATTCTTTCACCGAGAGAGGTGCCCGTGCGGCCGGTCAGCGAGGTCTCGAACAACATGCGATCGAGACTTGCAAGGGTGCAGGTGTGGCCAGTGTGTTGGTTGTGTGTTAGGAGTAATATGATCCAAGACAGCTCTTCACGCTCTTCTCGTGTAAGTACATTGCTGTAGACCTGCAACAACAATGGAACCAGTTCCATAGCATCATCCGGCGCAGTCTCCAGGCAAGCAGTGATATTAGATGTAGTGGGTTGCCGTTTGACGATCTCGAACATCAAGTCTGCCCATAGAAACCTGCCTGAGGCCTTGGATAGAACGTTCTCTCCGATGGAGATTGGCCTTGTTTCATCGGCTAGCAACGGAAGGCGATGTACGTCACAGTATGTGATCCAGTTCTGTGGGTCTTGTTCCTCGGTTTGGATAGTGTTCGAAGGCAAGTCCATAGGGGAAGAGTGGCTCATGATTGATGATATGGTGTGGTTGCGTATACTGGAAATTGTACAAGATGTTGCTTATTTGCGTGTTGGGTGTATGTATGCGATGTGTTGTAGAGAGCTCCTTATTCCGCGGCGCAAGGGTGCTTATATAGACAGGTAAGCTTGAGGATATTCAATGTCTAGAATGTCAGCTGCACCTTCGTAACGCGTACATATTTCAAATAAAAGACCGTGAGCAGCGAGCTTTGATCGGGGAATGGAATCGGAAAACGCTCAAAAGAGTACTGCGGTATCCATGGAAGAGACATATGAAGCACTATGCAAACACAGATAACTTGTCCTTGAAGCTTGCAGCAGCGATCGCGGAGTTCGACAGAAGCTATGAATTTGCAGATTTCGTATAGATACCGTTTGATTAGCTCCTCAATCCAGAAGGCCGCTTGGGTAATGATGAACTGTGACAGTGACAACGACCTCTCTGCTGGGCGTTTGAACGGCAGATGTGAGCCGAGTGCGTCCTGGCGCGCTCGGTGAAGAGACAACGCTTTCAGGTTAGCCGGAGAGCTAACGATGACCTCCATACGAATCTTTAGGGGAGTCATCTCGTGTCAGTCGCACTCAAGCTACCTAGACAGTGGTGGATACAATGAGAAAAGTCATCAATCGTGACGTGAGGATGTGTGCAGGTAACCGAGGCGGGCCATGCGATCACTTCAATGTTTCGTGTGGCGTTATCGGGCTCTACACTAAACTACATATGGAAAGGGCAGTCGCCGATAACGAACCTAGGATCTCGAAAAACTGGGGAGGGCGGGTCATGGCAAAAAGAGATCTCGGTACCAGCGCCAGTCTTGTGGATGGCGAGATTGAGATTGGTAGTGGAGCTCCGCGGTGATATTGGAGAGTGGAGAGGAGTTTGCAGCAAGCGTGCCAGAAAATGACGGTGCAGCTGCTCCTCCTGCGTAACCCTCAGCCTCAAGCGGAGCCACTGGTCTAGGCACTGCGTAGTGCATCTCTGTTGGTATCCGTCCACGGGTGCATTTGCCGCCGCTTATGTTCTACAATCGCATCGCGACGGAACGGCGAACCTATCAGACTCTAATCAGCTGAGCTGTTAGTGCATCTTGTTAGTCGCTGTCCAAGATTTATCGCTACACGGCCATGCCGAAGGAACAAAACCATGCAAGAACAGGGTCAGGCAAAGTCGCGCGACAGGGCTACTGGCTATGCCGTCATCAGTCGGTGGCACCCAATGAGATCGGATCAGCTAAACCTCTGCCGTCTTGGACATGAGGGCCGTTGAACGGACGAGGCTTGGATCAGCACTTAGATCGTAGCGCCTTCATCGCTTAGATCCGTTTCGCCAGTAGTCGACGGTAGCGTGAAAGAGCTACTCGTTCCCCGCGTACGTATAACATACCTTGTCCCACGGTACCGACCCTGTAAACTGCCATTACCACGCGGCGACTCACTCTCACCCAGTCTACGCGCAGTCACCTGACAATACCCTGCCCTTGACAGTAGCTTGCCCTGCCGCCGTCAAGATGGAGGTCAAGCAGCCGGAGCGCAGCCCTGCGCACCTCAGCGACGAGGAGAAGATACCCGTCGAGCACCCCGAAAATGCGCGCGCTAAAGTCGAAATCCCCATCTATAACGACGTAGAACGCGTCGACCAAACCGACTTGTCTTTCGCTGCAATTCTTAAAGGCACAGCCGCAAACCCGCTCAACACCTTTGAGAAGAAGGCCGCCCTCATCAATGTCGAGCTCGATAAATTTGGAATGGGCAGATACCAGATATGCATCTGGTTCCTCTGTGGCTTTGGATACTTCCTTGATCTCGCCTGGTCACAAGGTGTTGGTTTAATTGCTTCTGCCATCTACCAAGAGGTGAGTTAGTCCAGACACAGCGGGTACCCTGTACTAAAGCGTTTGCAGATGGGAGTTTCGGACGAACACACTGGAGATATATTTGCGATCGCTAACGCAGGACTTGCTGTCGGTGCGCTCGGCTTTGGTCTTGCTGTGGATATCATCGGACGCAAGTGGGCTTTCAACTTGACCTGTCTCATTACCTCCGTATTCGGACTCTTGCTGGTATGTTCATGAAGCCGCAATATTGATTATCGGTAATTAACAACATGTCAGGCCGCACCCAAGTACAACTACCCTGCGATATGCGCCATCTACTTCCTCGCGTCATTGGGCCTCGGAGGTAACATACCTATCGATGCGACCATCGCGCTTGAGTTTCTACCTCATAACCGCCGCTTCCTTGTCGCGCTTCTTTCCATGTGGCAGCCCATTGGTGTCGCCATTGCCTCTTGCATTGCCTACGGCACCACCGGCCAAGCTAAATGGCGCTGCGATCCCGAAGCGCCGGCTTGTCCAGACGTCGAGCCTGGAGTTGCTTGCTGTACCGTTGACAGTAACATGGGATGGCGTTACACTGTCATAGTGCTTGGCTGTATGACCTTGGCCGTCTTTTTCCTTCGGTACTTCGTCTTCACTTTCCATGAGTCCCCGAAGTTCCTGCTTGCGCGAGGAAAAGAGCAGGAGGCCCTTGACGTCCTTCACAGGATTGCGAAATTCAACAAGCAGCCAGCCCCAACGTTGACTATGGAGATGTTTGCCGCCATAGATGAGGTATCGTCCAATGCCACGTCAAGCGCACGACTTTCCACTGAAGTACCTCGAACTACTCAGGCTACCCAGGCTACCCCCGAGAAAGGCAATGGGCTTCAGCGCCTTAAGGGCATTTTCACCAAAAAGCCGAATGCCACATCGAGCGCACGAAACTCCCCTCGAAGTACCAAGGATACTACCAAGAAAGTCATCAAAGGATTCGGCAAGGAGCTTACGCGCCTCAAGGGCATTTTCACCAACAAGCTGACCGCTTTCACTTTCGTCTTGCTTGCGCTGGCATATATGGTAAGTAGCTTGACTTTCCATCATTATGTTGCCTACTAACAAAAACAGGGAGACTACTGGTCCTTTAACCTGGCGGGTACCTTCCTGCCGCTTATCCTGCTACGCAACAACGTCGATGAAGGCCGAGGAACTGTGAGCGACACCTATGAGCAGTACCTGATTATCTATTTCCCGGGTATCATAGGTGCCATATTGGCTCTTGCGTCCATTCAGCTGCCTCTTGTGGGTCGAAAGTGGTCACTGGTCTTTTCTGCCCTTTGCCAGGGTATCTCCATGGCAATGTATACTCAGGTGTCTTCGACCGCTGCTTATGTGGGGTTGAACGCATTGGAGTACATTATGCAAACCGTAAGTGACGATTTCCGAACTCATCGCTTCCAATACTAATATGTGTTCAGTATTTCAATGCGGTCTTGTACG